TTCTGGGGCCCCGGGTGGTGGAGGTTTGAGGAGGTTGGGGTCGAAGGAGGACCCGGGGCCGGGAGGGGACATTTTGACCTCTCCCCCCCCCCCCCTCCCCCCGGCGACCACCTCCCTGCCACTGGCCGTTCGGCTGCGGGATCGCACGGGAGATCACATCCCGTCCGTCCGTGCCGACCGCGACCTCGTAATAAGGTATGTTCCAGGCTGAGCCGTAGATCGGGACCAGGTGGGGTGGGAGGAATGGGGTGGGGGGAGGGGGGACTAGACCTCGGAAGATGCCAGGGAGGTCCTTGCGGCTGGACCTCCACCTCCGTCACCCCGCCGCCTGTGAGTTCGCCACGAGGCCAAGAAGGCAGGCAAACACGCTAATGGGGGGAAGAAGCAACGAAGATCGGTGATGCCAGAATCTCGGGTGGGACAAGAATCGACAAAAAAACAAGATCCGGTCGCCAAATCCTGCCATAGGGGGAAGGAGGGGCTCGGGAAGGAGGCCTTGTGATTGGGCGCCCCCGGGACGGGGACTTCCATCCTTGCGATCGAGAGAGGAGCTGGGGCTCGGGTTTGAGATCTGGCCAGCTACCTCCAGGGTACAATCTAGAAACCTGGATCCGGAATGCGGGATTAAAAGTCACGGATATCGGCTGAGGGTGGGCGAGGATTCCTCTTGTTGGGAAGCCATACTGCGTACAGCGTCATGGGCATTACGTAGTATAGGTAGACATGCAATAATGGATGAAAGAAGCGGGCTACTCACACGTCTGCTTTTTTTTTTTGGATTTCCCCCCCACCAACAAGCCTGGCAGGTTTTACATCTGAGGTCTAGATGAGGTTGTACAAGACCGGTGTATTCCAACAGAGGCGGGACAGAATACGCGTTTGGAAGACCAAGACCAACGCCGAAAAAGACACATGCGCAAAGCCCAAGGAACGAAACTGAAGAACGATAAGCAACCTGATCACACCATCCGAGACCACAAACGCCTCCGATTTGCCAACCACCATCCATCATCAGTAAGTTGCCCCAGGCGGAGCCCCCATCCCTTCGTCTGTGCCTGTCCAGAAGGACAGTTGGTCCATCCCATGGCAGAAGGAAAGACAGGGGGGGGGGGGCGGGCGAGAGCAAGCAGGTCGGAGCTGGCCTGCCTCTTTGCCTGATCCCCTCTTATCTCTCCGCCAGGATGGACCAAGATTATCATCGTAAAGCCCCTCGTACTCAGCTCCCCGCCCTCCTGCCCTAATTCGGCCCTTAACTCCACAATGAACAAAGGGAAGAAAAACAGGATCAAGTGAATGAACCGCATATGCATAGTAGGTATCACCAACACACGCCACCACTCATAATGCAATCTCCATAAAAGGAAAGGATTCGGGTTAAGAGAAGAGGAGAGGGGGAAAGGGGATCCCCCTCTTCCCACCCACCCCCCCTTTGAAACCGGGCCGACATGCTGTTTGCAGGCCGGCCTTTTAGAACCGAGTAACAGCCTTGCGGCGGACCAGGAACGGGCTGGGCATCTCGTCCCTCTCGGGGTCCCACACGGCGGCCGGCTCCATGGCGCCGGCTCCGCGGTTGGCGCCGGCGGCGTGCTCTCGGAACGCCCGCTTGGGGCTGACGTTGATGTTGTTGAAGTTGGCGTTGACGTTCTCGCCCGCCATGCCGACGACGCTGACGGGGCGCCCGCCCGCTCGCGCCTGCTGGAGCTCGACCAGCGTGCGGCCCTTGATGTTGTTGCTCTTGCCCGACACCTTGTTCAGAGCAGCCGGAGCCGGAGCCGGCGGCTGCTGCTGCGGGGGGGCCGGGTCTGCGTCGTCCTTCTTGGTGAGGGAGGTCTTGCGCTTCTGTGTAGGCCCCTCGCTGCCGCCGGATCCGGATCCGGATCCGTTGTTGCCGTTGCTGTTGGCGGCGGTGGCGGCGGCGCCGATGAGGTTTGTGCTGGACGGGATCTTGCTGAGACGCCTGTTCGGGCTGTTGCACCGCAGTGCGCCGTTGGCGTTGGCGGCCGCAGCGCGGCCGGCGGACAGGAGGTCTGGATTCGAGACCACGGTTGGGAGGTTCCCCATCGTCTTGGACTGGGGGCCGAGGATGGTCTGCTTCGACTGGAGGCGGTGGATGGGCACCGACTTCTGGGCGTGGAGGGTCGGCCGCTGCTTGCTGGTGAAGGGGTTCTTGCTGGATTTGATCATCCGGGTCGGGGACGGGATCGGGATGTCGTCGTCCCATTCCGAGTCCGAGCCAAGGCCGGCTAGATCTCGGGTCACTTCCCAGCGGGGGTCGCCGCCGCCAGCTGCCTGGTTCTCCGTGAAGATGTTGCACGGGTTGGTTGCGGGGACCTTGGTGGCTGCGTTTCGGCGGGGAGAGAGGGACAGAGACGCAATCGTGATGGGCGACGGCGACGCCATCTCGATGTCCATGGGCGTTCCCGCGGCTGGCGCAGCGGAGAACATGGTCTGCGCCCTGGTAAAGGGCGTCCTAGCACTCTTCTTCAGGCCGTGAGATGAAGTATCGGGGGAATCCACAGATAGTTCGGTGATATCGGTGGTCGAGGGGAAGTCTCCATCGGCACTGCCGCCACCGACTGAAGAATATGGGTAGTCTGATTTGGACAGCGAGGAAGACAACTCTGGCGGCTCATCCTCTGGGAAAGCCATGGCCTTCTTCCGATTCAGCAATTCTGCCTCGACACGGGATTGTACCTCGTGCTCGAACTTCTTTTGGAGCTGTTCGACCTCCTGGTTAACCAAGCGATCGATCTCGAGTCGTGCCTTGACTTCCCATTCCCGTCGCAGCGAGGAATCAATCTCTTGGCGCATGTAGACCTTGTCGGCATCAATCGAAGAGATCTTCTGCTCGAGTTCCCGCATCCTTTTGTTCATTGCCTCTTCCTTCGCTTTCAGAATGTTGTTGAAGTCGGCAACCTCCTTCTCTTTCCGCATGAGTCGCACAACAGGCAAGTTCAGTAACGTTGCCGTGTCCGGTCGCCTGTCGGGATTGACTCGCAAGCAGTCCTTGATGACTGCCATGAGTTCGGGCGAGTACATCGGCGGCAGCGGAGAGACTCTGCCTTCCTTGATCTTCTGCACCAGCTGGAAATGGGACTTGGCGTTGAATGGAGGCTCTCTAGAGCACAGCTCGTAGATGATACAGCCAAGTGACCAGATGTCTGACTTCAATGTGTACTTCTCGGCGGCGCAGATTTCGGGGGACATGTAGAACGGGGTGCCAACGTAAGTTGAAGCAAAATCGTGCGATTGGATCATCTTGGCGAGGCCGAAATCCCCCAGTTTCACCGAGTTATCCTCTCCCAGGAACACTATACATCCGTTAGTGGCGGGCAAATGGTGTTGAACAGCAATACCCCGACGTACCGTTCTCTGGCTTGAGGTCGCGATGCAAAATGGTCATCCCACCCGCCGGTGGTTTGGGCTTGGCCGTAACTCCCAGGCCAAGGGAAGTCTTCCCGACCTCCGGGGGGTCTACCCCATAGTGGCATCGGTATAGAGCGGTGAGAAGCTGGGAGAATATGCTCCAAATAAAGGCCTCCTCTGCATATTGATTCTTGTGTGCCAAGTCCCGGATCACTCGGCCCAGGTCTCCATTGCCACAATATTCCATGTATAGGTGGAGGTCCTGGGATGCCTTGAGGTGTTCTCGGTGGTAGTAGCCAACAATATTGGGGTGGCGGAGGGTCGACAGGATCTGGAACTCTGCGTGGAGCTGTTCGCGCTCCTTCTGGGACATCTTGAGGTAGCTGATTTCCTTCCGGCAGAGGACCATGCCATCTGCCTTCCTCCGGACCTTTCGGATGACTCCGAAGGAGCCATGGCCTTTGGCTTTCAGTCAGTAAAAGTGGATTGAGTTCGTTGCTTTGGGGTTGCTATACCGATCTTTTCAAGCACTTCGTACTTGTTGTCACCTTCCGACATCTTGAGCTAGGAATAGGAGAGCCTCTGTGTGTTGGAGTTCACCAGGTCCATAAGCGAACGAGGTGTCAAGTGGGTGTAGTTTCCCTGCTATTGTTAGTATTTGTCGTTGTTGGGCGATCCTTAGGAGGTCGTAGCTTTGTTGCTCCGGTCAAGGTTGCAGAAAATCAGAGGGAGAGTCAACACTACTGGGTGCCATGGCAACGCCTGCTGTTTTGCACAGGGGTATGCGGCACGAACCCTTGCATTGAGGCTGGTGGTGGCTGTGCGTTTGATCTTTCCTTATCGCATTATCGATAAGATACTTGCCCATGACGGTGGCGGGGCAGGCATGACGTGCCAAAATGCATGGCATGGCCCGTGCTTTTGCCCATTCGGAAGTACTATGAAGACTCCCATAATTACCCTGAAGCTTGTCGCCCCTTTGGATCTGCTTAGCAAGAAAAATCCGATGTCTCCGGGAAAAGAACAGGCGACACATGTCAAATTGATTGGCCATGTCAATCCTTCGAAAAGACCAGTTGGAAGCCAAAATCAAGGAGGAGAACCAACTGATTCGAAGCGGGATACTTCGGGACGAGAACCCCCTCGATCTTAGTGCCGAGTTTGAGGAGTTCCTGCAGGCTTGCCGTCGAGGCGACCTTAAGCGGTGCCAGGAACTGATATCTTCTGGAATCAATATCAACAGTAAAGACCAGTTCGATTACACCCCCTTGGTTATTGTAAGTGGATAAAAAGTATTTTTGCCACGTCCCCGTTCTGACTGACTGACATCTCGGTACTAGGCCAGTCTCTGCGGTCACTATGAGTTGGTCCAGTTACTGTTAGAGTCGGGTATGTTCCCCTTGGGTCTTCAGAGTTGCTGAGCATGGGTTGACGATACTCCACAGGGGCCTTGGCAGATCGAGGTACTTGGGTTGGCGAAAGGACGGTATATGTATGCCAACGAGATCCCTCCCGGGCCTCGAGCTATGATGCGGACGGCTGAGATAAGTGTCTCACCGGACGAAGGGTAAATCCCAGGGCCATCTTAAGACTGACTTGTCTCTTGATCAGAATGCACTGAATGATAAGATACGGAATCTGCTGGTGTCTTACGACTATTCAAAGTCCACGGATCCCCTGCAGCCATGGGCCTCGCATATCACCTCGCTACTCACACGCGAGACACCCAAGACTTCAGACATCGAGCTCATTGCGGGCTCCCAGTCCTTTCAGCTGCACCGGTTTCTCCTTTCATCGAGGACGCCGTATTTCAGAAGGAAGCTTGCCGAGGCTCCGGAGACTGCAACTTGGAGGTTATCCCCAGCCATTCCAGTTGAAGCATTTCACTTTGTCTTGCGGTACATCTACCTGGGAGAGCTTCCCAGAGATGTTGTGGGGCCCGATAGTTCAACTTCTGAAGAGGAAGTGTTCAAGGGGATCGACAAGCTCTGCAAACAACTCGAAGTGGAAAAGCTCTGGGAGGCAGTCCTGTCGGGGAATGACCGTCGACTGGTGCGCCAGCGCTATCAGGACGAGGTCTCCCGGGCTCAGCAGCAACTGGAAACTTCGTTCCGGGATAGTGTCTTGAAGCACAAAATGGTGGTCGAAACCCGTAGGGTGGGCGAGGTCAAGTGGCCTCATGACAACGCAATGTTTGCTGATTGCATACTCCGAGCGGATGAGTTCGAAGGAGCCGAGGAAGAGACAGATGCTCTCTCGCACCTGAATGGGATCCCGATTGGCCCGGCAGCGACGACGCCTCCGCAAGATGGTCCTCGGAGGCTGAGAAGATCGGTTCTATACCCTGTCCACAAAGCCTTCCTCATCAGGAGCCCATATTTCGAGACCATGTTTTCGAGCGAGTTTAAGGAGGCAAAGGGTTCCGAATACCTCCACGTCATCCAGGTGGATTGTCTTCCCGAAGTGCTCGAGATTGTCCTCGCATTCCTTTACACGGAAAAGTCGGACTGCCCCTTAGAGCTGGCGCTAGATCTGCTCTACACGTCTGACATGCTTTTGCTGGATAAGCTCAAGGCCAAGGCCGCTCTCGCCATCAGTACTCTCGGAAGCGGCAACACCACTGCCTTGGTGGACAGGACCCACAACAGCGGAGGCGTGGAGCCGAAGGACGCCGAGATGGAGCCGATCAACGTGTACGATGTCATCCACGCTGCGTGGGATCTCAAAGTACAGCGACTGGAGGATTTTGCGGCCAGATACTTGGCTTATCGGCTTGAGGATTACATCGACGAGGCCGAGTTCTCCGATCTTATCCAAGAGAGCGCATCCAAACTCAAGGCACGGCAAGAGACCGACACGATTGAGCTTCTGGATGACATTCGATACTACCTCTCTGAGCGGTTCCGTCTGCGATTTGAAGATGCCGGTCTCGATGATCTGCTAGACGACAGCGGCGAGATCAATGCCGCACTTGCGAGTGAGCTTCTCGCCAGCGAAGGGGCCGCAGTGGCAAACGGCCAGTCAAACGGCGAGGCAACATCGAACGAGCAGGGATCCGCGCCTGCGCCTACGCAAGGGCAAGGAACCATGAGGACGCTGGATGGCGAGTTGGCGGAAGACGAGTTTGCCTCGGACGCTATCAACTATCAGATCCTTCTGAACAAGATAGACAAGATGCTGGATCAGCTTAAACTGGATGCATAAGATGATTGTATCTACGAATACAGATGCGTAGAATTAGAAATGGATAAACAGACTGCCTTTTCTGAAAGCATGATAACTATGGGGTGGCCCAGGTGCACGGATGTACCCGCACCTTGTATCCAGCAACCTGGAACAGAAGCACGTCCGAAGCGGTACCTAGGTACATACGTACCCCAGCGCTGATCCATCTGCATGCAAGTGGGGCAGTGGGGTAATGTGAATCGGAGCTCCAGCCTTCCAATTGCCACACCCCACGACTGCCTTCACGACTCTTGAAGCTGCCCAACTTGCGATCATGGCCAGCCTCCATTGTTCGCAAGTTCAGTGCGTGGCAATGCTGCGCCATCGCACAACTCAGGCTGCTAGGGATTGATTGCTTGGGTTTAGGTATGTCTCAGCTTTTCATTTTCGTGCCTGAACACCCTCGTGGGTTTTCCGTGGTGGTGCGTTTTGCATTTGTGTGGTTTGGGTGGCTGGTCGCCCAACCTTGCGCTTTCACTGCCAGCCTCTTCGAAAAAAATCGACGACAAGGCCCTTCCAACCATATTTGAGATTTTCTCTCCTCAATCTTTTAGCCTCCTCTCATGCATCTCTCCTTTGCTTCTGCATTTGCATACTGTACTAGCAATTGGTCAACCAGTCCAAGTGGAGGCGACCTGCAGCGCCAATTGCAGCTTCAAGTATGAACTTCCACAACTTGAACTTCGACTATGTGGAACAACATCGTATGTCTGCAGATCTATTTCTCCAAGCCACCACCAGACACTGCCTAGATTAGACTTGCTCATGGCCGCTTTTTAGGTGCGAATCCACAATATCCTGCCAGTCCAAGTTCACCGTCGAACCATTCCGACGCTATTCTGCGCGATCCCAACTTAGACTATGCTTCGTCCCGTCCCGCATCACCATCTCCGCAGCCAACTGTCATCCCATGGGCCCCGACTCCACCATCTCCGTCTGATTCAACTCCAGAGTTCTACGGGCCAGACCGCCTCTTCCCACCTACATTAATACCGCCCTCCGTCCCTCGTGAGAGCACATATCAACGCTTTCGGGCTCAGAATATTCCGTTCGGCACCATGGAGAGAGAGGCGGATATGGAAGGTCAGATGAACGCTGACATGCTGACGGGGTTCCGCGATGAGCTCGTAAGGGAGGCCGGCGTAGTGACTCCTGGTGTGGACGACTCGCCCTATATTCACTACGCCATCGAGGCCCTCACTCGGGACAGGGACACAGGCTATTCTGGCAACGATAGCTCAAGCAGCAATGCCGCCACTCCCATCCCTCCTGTCCTTCTCAGCCGAGACATGGGATATTATCACCCTCCACGAGTGCAGGAGCAACGGCAGTACGCTCCCCTTCCAATGCAACCGCCGATTCTGCCTACTCCGGTTTACCGTCACGATGACCGAGCTCCCGAACAACCGGACCCCTTTGAATGGCCGTTCTCAGGAGAACCTCTCGGGTTGCAAGGCTCCCCAGTCCCAAGTTCCTGGGCACCAAGACCGAAACCCAAGACGATCCAACCTCACGAATGGAGACCCATGAACAGAGACGCCATGGCTGACAGCATCAGCCAGGAAAAGGCTAGCGGATACCCACCCCTACATTTCCTTCCTTGGATCTTGAGGCCGGCGTCGTTTACCATATTGATGGTCTCCTGCTTAGCGATGCTGGCGGCCTTGATGTATTGCGCCGTACATTCCCAACTCAACCCCGGCCTCGTACCATTTACTGGTTCGATTTATGGCAGCCAATATTTCGTCTTCCGGATGCTGCCCCAGCTCCTAGCGGCATTCATACTCATTTATGCCCAATGCATCGCCACGTCCATGTTTCGCATCGTCCCTTTCTTGCGGCTGGCATCGAACCAGGCCCAGATTCGCGACGGTGCCCTCTTCCAGGACCTTTATCCCAAGTCGTTCCTCTGGCCCCGGCTTATCGGCACCAGGAAAATCTGGGTCCCCATCCTCGTCACTTGGTTGATCAATATCACTCTACCGCTGCAGAGTTCGCTGTTCACCGTCATTCTAGTCGATGGGGTCTGGACATGGGCGGCAGTCCAAGGAGTTGCCTGGACGCTTGTGGCCCTATACGTGGCACTACTTGTGGCCACCGTCATCGCCGCCTCGTTCTGGCTCGGAGTCAGGAATACTGGCCTCTTATGGGACCCCAGATCCCTTGCGGATATCATCACGATGGTTTCAGAGACCAATACGGCAGTCGACTACCAGGGCACCCAGCGAACAGGGACGAGAGATCGACTGCGCTTCGCATTGCGACGCCGGCGCAGTGATAGACTCGGTTATTGGGCTTGGAAGGATGGCCGCTCGGGTTTCTGGTATGCGCTTGGTAATTCGATGGACCACGAAAACTCCCTGCCCTTTCCAGATATTCAGGCGAAGCACGGCGTGAAGATCGAGAAAGATGGAGATTTTACCTTGGGCGATCGTGATGTGGAGGCTGCGGGATCCCAACACCACATCCGCTACCGCTACTTGCCATGGTGTATGCGCAACAACCAGCTACTCTATTTGGTGGTCACAGCATTTATCCTCCTTCTGGCGCTCTTTGTTGTGTCCTTCTTACCCTCGACGCACATCTCTACCGGGTTCCTCCCTTGGCTGCTAGCCGCCCCTGGGCAAGGAGCATTCTCGGCGGCGGACTTCCTCTATAGCTTCCTTCCGTCGCTCGTGGGATTGATCCTGTGGCTTCTCTTCCAGGCCGTGGACCTTTCCATTCGCGTCCATCAACCATGGGCAGCTCTTTCCGGAACCCGGGGCGCTCGAGCCGAGGAATCGCTTCTAGCAGATTACGCGGCTTGCCTACCCATCCAGAGCACAATCCACGCAGCCAAGAATGGGCATTGGCGCGTTGCTGTGACAAGCCTGCTATCGACACTGTTCCTCCTCCTGCCGGTATTAGGCGGCGGCATGTTCATGGCACTCACCCGGCCGGGCGGCGAGGTGCGGATGTACCCGAACATGCCCGCTTTCGCCATCATACTGGCCCTCCTGGTGCTCTATTTCCTCGCGCTGGTCGGCATGTTCCCTGGCCGGAAGGCATTCCGCCTCCCGCACGCCGTCACGTGCCTGGCCGAGATCATCAGCTTCCTCGCAAACGAGGATCTGCTCACCGACCTGGCGTTCAAACAGTGCCGCACCAAGGAGGATATGCTACTGAAGATGGGCCTCCTTCACGGCACTCCGGAGACGCAGCCTCGCTGGATATTTGGCGTTGGTCCCGCGTCGGCGGACGGTATGCCTGGCGTGAGAAGGGCTAGGCGGTTCACGGAGAAGCGTCCGATCCGAAAGAGCCAGATCCGACGCGGCGGCCGGAATATGGCGTGAGTAGTGGTCGATTGATGGGTCGCCCCCTTCCCTCATCTAGTGACGGGGGAGGATGATCACTTCTGGTGATACGTTTTTGTTGCTTTTTTTTTTTTTTTTTTTTTTTTTTTTTTTTTTTTTTTTTTTGGGTTGGGGGCAGCATTTACGGAGCATAGCGACGGAGTTGGGTACTGGCTTTTGGAATCTCGGGGTTTTCAAGAATTTGGCGGATTTTCGGGCTGAGACTGGTCATGGGGAGATGCTGCGCTGCTTTTACGAGTTTACGGAAAACCGACCTTTACGATTCTTCGACATAGTTCATCGACATGATTCATGGCAACATGACGACTTTCATGGGTCCCGGTGCTAATGATAGCATGATTTGTGTTTTTACATAGACTGCGCGAGGGTGTGATTTTTGTCTTCTTTCTTTTTTTTTTGTTGCATCCCAACAACTCCTGTTGGGAATGTCGCATCGGCAGGAGCCGGGTAGACCGTTGTGTGGAAACTATGATTGGCGATCCGGGATAGGTACGAAGTAGAGAAGGTCGGAAATTCCATTTAATGATCGTCGGGGTATTGTAGAATTACATGTACACACAATGACTCGTTATCAGCGTTGCATGTGTCATGTCTCACATCTAAAAGCCATCCCATCCCCCTTGCGCCTCCAAGTCCTGACCCCACCCATTTTGCCGGCCCCCCCCTTTTTGTCACCGTCCTTGACCCCTTAGGAACCGAACCTATCGTATGACATCTGTGTGGCGAGGGAAGAAAAATAGAAAAAGAAACAAGAAAAAAAAGGTAAAGATCGTAACAAGAAACAGGCAAAAGAAAAGAAGAAGAAGCCCTCTTCCATACGCGCCATTCCCCTCCCCCCCAAATCCCAAGCCATAGATAGGGATAACCGAACCACCCAACCCCGTAGACATAAAAACAAATGAAATATAAATCGAGGCAAAAAGCAAGTACTGACATCATCATCATCCCGTGAATACACCCAAACCCTCCACGCGGCAGGCCGGATGGATCACCGACTCCTCCGGCCCAGCATCCGCCCAAACACCTCGCTCCGCTGCCGCCTCACCCTCGGCCACTCCCTTTCTTTCTCCCTGTCCCTGCTATTTCCGCCGGGCCCCCCCTCCTCCCACTCGGACGCGCTGCGCGGGCGCCGGTCGTCGACGACGCCGGGTATCTGCTGGTGGTGGTGGTGGTGATGGAGGAAAGGCGGTGATATCAGCTGGACGTGCTGTTGTTGTTGCTGTGCTTGCTGCTGCTGCAGCAGCGGTAGAGGCGTCCCACCCCTCCCGCTCCCGTTTCCGCCGGTACTCCGCTTGCCACCACCCCCGCCACCACCGCCGCTGCTGCGCTTGCCGTGGCCGGCGAGCCCGCGCACGATCCGCCTGGCCAGGCTGCGGGACGACCGGGGCCCGTCGCTGTCGTCCGCGTCGTCGTCGTCGTCGTCGTCGTCGTGCGGGTTGTTGGTGTCCGAGTCCGAGTCGTACTCGAAGACGGAGACGACGGGGGCCGGGGGGAGTAAGGGGGTGGGTGGTGGTGCGGGGGATGGCGGTGGCGCGGGTGATGGTGGGTGTGATGCGAGGAGGAGTGGTGACGCGGGTTGTGGTGGTGGCGAGGGCCTCTGGGCTGGGAGGGGGGGTGGAGGTCGGTGGGGCGTCGGTGGTCGTGCTTGTGTCCTGGGTTGGGATTGATATTGAGCTTGGAATTGGGTGTGGGCAGCGGCATGCGCGTGATATTGCTGCTGTTGAGACTGCACGTTGTGCGCAGTGGTGACAGTGGGAGTGGTGGTGGTGGTGGTGGTGGCGCTGGTGGTCCTCGCTAGCTTGCGCAGGTTGGCGAGCGATCGCCGGCTCATCGACAGGCGTGGCTTCGGAGGCTCGGCCTGGGCCGCTGGATCGGGAGGCGGCGGGGAGGAGAGGAATAGGGGGGGTGAGACGGGTGCAGATAGGGGTGGTGACGCGATAGATCCCGACGGTGATGCCAGATTCGGCCTGCTCGCGCGGCCGCGGACCGGTAGTCTGGACGTTGGCGGGACCTGGGTAGGGGTTGTTGGTGTCCCGGGATGGAGAAAGGAAGAAGTCCGAGGGGCTATGGCATGGCCGACGGAGTCCGCCGCCGCACGAGGAAAGAGAGTCCACGAGCCTTTTGCTGTTCTGGGCACCGGTGTTCGCGATCGCTGCTCCTCTTCAGCGGTTGGAAGTGGCCAGGGCAGTCCGTCCTGTGAGAGGGCTTTATTACCCGCTGTCATCTGAGGTCGGTGCCAGCCCGTGCGCCGCTGCTGCTCCTGCGGTTGCTGCTGGTTATGGACCTGCGGTTGCTGCTTCTGCCGGACAGACGGCAACTTGATGAGGGCGGGATAGCTCCTCATCCGTGATAATCGTTCTTGGGGCCTCGCCTTCCAAAAGGAATCCCAGAGCTCGGCAGCCGTGGCGTGGTACTGATATTCATCCTCCGCCGACACATCGGAGCCGTGGTCGTCCACCATGCCGGGAACCGAGGAGTCCGACCCCAGCGAGACCCTGTCCCTCATCTCTTCTCGTGGATAGCTTGGAGTATGGGGTCGTGGATAGGAGTAGTTGGATACAGGGAAGTATTTTGACACGAGCCGGAGATCGGCCAGTTTAGATTGCTGCTCCATCTCGCCAACCGAAGTAGCTCACTAGAGCCAGCATAGAGGTGGTATCACACCAAGCTACTCGTGTGTCGTCTTTGAGGAACGAGGAGGGAGGTTTCGCGACTCAACAGGGGAAATTGGGAGATTAGGAGATTCCGAGGTGGGATATATGCTCAGGCGGGACTTGTTTGGTATACGGATGGCTTTTTAGCGCGAGAGGGAGGGGCGCGTTGGGTCGTGGGGCGGAGCATCAACAACACAAGGGATAGCCAAAAGGGCGAGGAATGCCCCGAGGCTCGATCTTGGGCTCGACCATCTTGGCCAGGAAGCCAAGGGCTACATACCAGGAGGGATTACGTATGTATATGGACAGAGAAAGCCTTGGGAGGGAGAGGCCTGGATGGATCGAGGGGGGACCGACGTCTCGGGTGCTGGAATGCAGGAAGGTATGCACGGCAGCGCCTCCGTCCAAGCCTTTGTTTTTTTTTTTTTCACAGGAACCGGCTGTCACATTTGTTATTCCAGACGATCAGCGCCCCCCAAAGCCAGCCCAGGCGTACGTGATAACTGACGGCGCAGGAAGGTTGAAAGCATAGAAGCAGGTGGAAGAGCAAGCCGAGACAGGACAGGACAGGACGTGACCTGTGGCTCCTGTGCGAGCACCGAATTGGAAATGCACGAGGAGAAACGGCTCTGCATACTGTGCAGTAGAGCCAGCACACCTTCGTGTGCGAAATGCTTTACACTAGTAAAGGAGAGGTTGCCGTTGGTTGGATCAAGTTGGCGGGGCCCTGTTCGAGCGAGGCAAGGGCTGAGGAACGTGAGGAGAGAGCGACTTGTATGTGTGTGTGTGTGTGTGTGTGTGTGTGTGCGTAAAAGCGCACGCAACAGCAAGAAGCATGAGATACATCGCATTTTCAGGTTTATGGACGGGTCAGTGTGCTGCAAGGACAGGCCGAGAGGAGAAAAAGATCATGACGTGACAACCTCCCTCTGATCAATGCCACCGAAGGCCGAGACAGAACCCACAGCCACCTTGAATACTGAATAGGGATGCAGCTGAGGTTGGCACCGCAGGTGAACCGGCTGTTTAGCGCTGTTTCGCCTGTGCGTCCCGGCGTCGTCGATCTCCCGTGATAGCAAAACCAGGTGGCGGATAGATGCTGGGGGAAACGGGAAACCTGGAAAAGGGAGGAATCGGGATCGCGATCGTAGCCGCTCCGAATCCCAACCAAACGAAACCCACAACCGACTGATAAGTGTGTATTCCAGTGTGTATTCCGTAGTGTGCACCGTAGTAGCTGAGGCACCCCACATATCTGGTCCCATCATTCTTTACGCGGGGAGCAAAAATGAGAGAGAGGTATGCGTTTGCTCGTCGCGCGCAAAACAAAAACTTGTTGGGCGGGCCTAGGTCTATGCTAGACTCTAGCCGACCCCGCCATCTGGGCAAAAAGAAAACAACAAAAGCACTTCGTATGTTTGCACCCCGCAGTATTCAGTCTTCCGTACTTTCCGGATGGTACCATCCTCTCCCCCCTATCGCTCGATTGGGAGACTTTTGAGTCAGAACACGAGAGAGGATGGAATCGAACCAGCTCTCGACACTGTCGGTTGCGAGAAAGGCACCACGGTGCGCATCTCACTGGTATGCCAAGGTACTTAGCTTTAGGGGGGGAGGTGGCGAGAAAACCACACAAGCAAACAAACAAACAACAGCCAACACCGGTTTGATAACAATAGCAAAGAAACCAACCAGGGCATCCCGCGTCCCCACTTCAAAATTCTGGGGCATGCCCAACACCGTTTTGTTAAACCCAGCACATCCATCCCACGCACTCGCGACTCATGCCTTGCCTGGGTCAGGATTCTCCTTCTCCTTCTCATTAATAAGGATATGTGATCGTTATCATTTATTATCATCGGCCGGCATCCGGCAGTATCCAGATGTGGCTGAAACATACAACTTTGGCCTGGGGGTTGAATATTTGCCTGCCAACCCCGCGCTGGGCCCGGACGTGTCTTGGAGAGACTCCTTCCCGGCCTCAGAAGGGAGTAGGGTGCTGTACATCCGACCCGAGCGAGTATCTCGGAGGCTCAGGATAACTTCACCCTGGCCCAACGACGAGGGAAAATTCCAAAGGTCTGGAGGCAGGCCTATTGCTAGATGGTTCGAAGATAGCCACTGCATGAGCGCCACTATCAAGGAGAGGCGCCTAGAGCGTAAACTAGTGGTTCAAGGCATACGAAGTATACCGTGTTCGGCCAGTTAACTCGAAGGGAGGAGTGGCTGAGACTGAATACGCAGTAAGCAGGTATATTCTCCGTATCGCCGATATATCGGCACGTTGGACTCAACACTCAACGTAGATCTCAGAGAAGGGACCCCTTCTCCCTCTCCTGGAGCGTGAGGAAGGCTAATACCGTACGATCTCTCCGTTATAATTTTGACCAGGACGAGAGATGCGGCTGCGGCACAGCTGAACTTGTCTCGGGGTTCGTCGAAAGCGTGTTCCAATCACGACTCCGATATTCTTACATCCTCAATAGTACGATGAGAGACAGAGAGCAAACGAGCGGGAGATGTCGCAAATGCAGGGAGGCAGAGGGGTAACTCTCCGCAGCACCTCGTCTGTTCTGGCCTCTGGCTGGGTTTGCGTGGAGTGGGAAGTTCTATGTAGAGCAGACGGGAGGGAGATAGTGCATGGCCTAGAACCGTCCGCACGGCCCGGTCACGGATATTGATGGATGATAAGCACGGGCATCACTGATTTGAGGCTCGCCATTTTTGGAGACCAAGAACAGAGCTGGGTCCTGCCTGACATATGAAACGGCTCTCTGGGAGCGAACCTGGTGAAGCGTGGCTAGCCACACAAACACGCCCCCCAGCTCAGGTAGTTCCTGGAGCACTCGGTCCCAATCCTGAACAGAGGCGAGAACAGTTAGGTATGTGCATCTAATTTTCATCACGGGATTGTTGCCTCAGTCTCTTGGGTGGCTCTTCACCCGCGCGTCAACAAAACAACAGCGCCGGCCAGGCACTTCTCGAATCGACAGCTGCCATATTTTCTCATCAGCTGGCGCTGGGTGCTTTTCCCTTGATTTGACTGGGAACCAGGGTTCGGGAAGAAGGGGTGGAGGCCCTGTCCGATCCATCCTATCGGGATCGCTTGGTTCCTGAGGCTGATCAGCCATTGGAGCAGAGGTCTCCTTGGGTCGGCAGATGCTCCGTCACTTTCATGTACTGCCAACGCACCACCGACCCCCAGCCTCCTCAATTTTCTGCCCTCTCTCAATCTCTCTCATCTTCCTTCCTGCCCCAGGCTCGCTGCATCAGGCAGTCCTCGGGCCTCGAGTTCATTTTCTCTCTTACCCTTGTGTGTGAGATGGCTTGAAAGTTGACGCCTGAGCCATCACAGATAGGCTTAGATACCTTATGGGGGCAGTGGCTGACAACCACTCCATGCTGTACCTTGGGTAGGTAAGTTAGGTTGGCTATAGGGTTGATCTGTAATTATGTACGGATTGTTGCCTAGGGTGCTTTATGACGTCTGATGGACAACATCTTCCAAGAATTTGGTTTGGTTCAATGATCGGTGCATGGATGAGTGTTCCAGGTCGAAGAAATTGAACCAGCAAACGCCCTTGTCCGGGGTGTAAGCCGGCAGACCCGCCCTTAAAGAGTGCCCTGCGACCAGCCGTCCCTGCCAAATGATCCCTCCCCTTGCTGTGCATTGAATCATCAACCATCGCAGAAAAAAAGTCGAATTGGCGTCCAGGCCTTGAAGAAGTGTCACCGCTTGATGCCGCCAGCTCAGGGATTTTTGTAGTGTGGGAGCATGGTGCGAAACCAAAACTGCGACCCTTTGCACCTCTGCGCGGCCTTGCGCAAAGCAACGATCGCGACGAGAGCAAGAATATCAACAAGACCGACAACATCCAGTACAGTTGAAGCCATTGGCATATGATTATGGTTGCAGAAGAAACCAAGGAATCACCACGACTCAGACTGCCCACTTTCTCCAATTCCCAACATCAATTGCCCTGTTGCGCTGCTGCTGCAGCGGCGGTGAGGCGGATGGTGGATGTTGGGTGTAGGGTGTAGGAGAGACACACGAAAGGTGTCTTGTCTTGGGCATCGACTGCCCACCCTTCTCTGGTGATAATCGAGGTGACCAACAAAATCCAGCATTCTCACACTTTCACATGAAGACGGGTCTTGCGACAGCTATTTCAAGGGTTTCCAACTTGACTGCTGACCCAGCCTGACCTCAATCGACACCCGACATTGGTGGCATATCATCACTACCAGCCCCCTCCATTTCCCAGCCATCACAATTTCTCCCATCTCGAACTTGTGCGAGCCGGGAACCGACCGACCGCAGCAATCGCACATTACCCACTTCCCAGACACTTCCATTCCTCACAATATTCTTCTGTCTTTCTCTGTAGCCTTCCAATTCTTTTTTTCAAGGGTGTTTGAGGTGAGTGGTACTTCTGATTCACACCCACATCCACATCCACACACCCATACTACCTATCTACCTACATACCCATCAACGGCCCGCCCATCAACCCCAGATGGTGGTGTCTGCTCCCCAGATTTAATTCAAAACACCACACCCACAGTATTTGCATAAGTCGGTTGGATGACTTCTAACCGGAACCACCTAGAATTTCTCACCTCTACCCAAGACACGATACCCTCACCACCCGGGTGGTGATATTTCGCCTTGTCTACTCTACCCGCCTCTTCGGGTGGCCAAGGCCCCGTCGCCGTGTTGAAGCAACCAAACTCACCCGCTCCAGCTCACGACCGTTACGACCGTTACGACCCACTGACACCTCCCCGTCAGCGCCAGCAGCGGGTACCTCCTCTCCAACACAAGAGCGACTCTCCCAAACTCAGACATAGTCCTTCTACCCCGTCCTCCAACCGATCTCTCCGCCGAACCCCGCGATTCCACGGTACTCCTGGCCTTGAATCGAGCAAACACTCCCAGCGCCAGGTCCACGTCGAGGCAGCCTCCGTTGGCATCAGCCCTAAGCCTCGCTTTGCAGTTGCTGGCAGCCCTCCACGACAGGAACCGCAGGAGCACCGCCAGCCCCGACGTCAACTCTCCCAAGCCCTAAGTGACGACCTTGACGACGCCTCCAGCTTTCCCCATTCGGACATCCCAGGCCAAGCTCGTGCCCCAGACCCGAACAGGCCTGATCCTCACCCATTCGTTCGCATCTCCAAAGGCACCCACAGTGCCATCCTCTGGGCCCTCGAGGAAGCACTGAGACAACCTCATTCTTTCAGCCCTGATCTGCTTGAGGAGAACGCCTCCATGGCAGAACTCCTCGGCGGTGGCGGTGGCCCCGCCACATCCAACGGCAATGGCACATCCGCTTCCCGCCCTACAGCACCTGTCGCGCAGACCGGATCTCCGTCGCAAGGCATCCGCGGACCTAGAATGATCATGCGGGAACGGGCCGAGCGCGAGGCACGGCAGAGGGCAGAACGGGAGCAGATGGAGAGAAATCGCGCAGAGGAGGAGGCTCGCTTGTTGGAAGAGCAAAGGCAGAGAGCAGCGGAGCGCAACCGCCCCGCTGCTGGTGCTGGCATTGGGGGTGTTAGTGGAGGTGGTGGTGGCGGCGGCGGCGGCGGCGGCGACATAGCCATGGATCCCGCAACCCAGCGGAGACAACAGCGGGCTCAAGAAGCCCAGGCAAGTGGCCTGGCAGGCCCTTCAAGAACCCAACCAACCAGCACACAAACCCAACAACCTCTTAGACCAACCCGGGTTCCCACTTCCCAGACCGCGCCAGCCTTCGGAGCCGCCCCAACTGCTGCTGGTGTGCCATCTGGTAGCAATATCCAACCCGGCGAGGCTTCAGCTGCGGCAGCAGCAACAAGGCCCAGGAATTCCTTCCCCCATGCTTTTGAGCGATGGGAGGCGCTTTCAGCCCACTGGGAAGGCATGACAAGCTTCTGGATCCGAAAGCTACAAGAAAACACCGAGGAGATCGACCGGAACCCCGTCTCTTCGCAACTCTCCCGGCAGGTTTCGGATCTGTCAGCCGCCGGCGCCAACTTGTTCCACGCAGTGGTTGAGCTGCAGCGCCTGCGGGCAAGCTCCGAACGCAAGTTCCAGCGTTGGTTTTTCGAGACGCGCGCTCAGCTTGAGCGGAACCAGGAGGTCAATGGCCAGCTACAGTCGCTGTTGGACGAGGAGCGGAGAGGCCGAGCAGATGCGATCCGTGATGCTGTGGAGCACGAACGTGTCAACTCGAAGACACAACAGCTCGTTTCGGAGATGCGCAAAGAGCTGGGGATATCCAAGGACGAAGCACGCCGGGCTTGGGAGGAACTCGGCCGCCGGGAACAGGAGGAGCGAGAGCGTACGCAATCCCTGCAACAGGGTCTCCCAACCATCGTTGGCGGTGTCCAGGTCGTGCCCATGACCCAAGGGGTGCCGAGCCGCCAGGCCAGCACCCGAGATCCTGGATCCCATACCCAGGGCGGACAGTCCGAGTATGCCCAGGCACAAGTTGGGCGGCCCGAATACTCGCACGACTCGCCTACCCAGACAGCCTCTTCTTCAGCCCCGGGGACAAGCGCAGCCACCTATTACCAACAACCCGAGACGACAGCTCCTGGAGGCGGCAGCTACGGCGGCGGCTCCGAGGCCGGCTATAGCGAAGGTGAGTACATGATCGATTCGAATGGCCACTTCGTCCGCGACATCCACGGCGACAAGATCCCCTTCCACAGCCCGGTTTCGCAGCCCGGAGCACCGAGCGATTCTGACCCGGGCGCAGAGGAGTATGACGAAGGCCACCCCTCGCCGAAAGCATCCAACTACCCACCGTCGAGCTCGCAATGGGTCGGCACGTATTCCGGCCCGCCCGAGTACTCGGGCCAGGGCTACGCTGCCCCCGGGTGGGAGACGATGCCGCGCCACCACCACCCCACCCGCCTTAGCGACGTCCTTGAGGAGGACGAGCGGAGCCGCACTTCTACCAGCCAAGTCAGCCGGGCCTGAGGCCCTCTTTTTGCGCTTGGGACCCCGACGAAAATCACCAACATATCCACTCGAATCAGGCCTGTGCGGAACTCACCAATCGGCTCGGCGTCATAGGAGCGTCGTCGTATGAGCCCTTTAATCCCCATAAACCCTCTCTCTTACCGCCCATCAACACCAAATATAACACAACAATACAGGAGGGAAAACTGGCATCGCTAAATTTCCTGGTGGAGCATTAATCGGATAGACGTGTATACACACAAACAACCCGCCCCTCGGGATACAGCAAATCCACCATTTCTTCGGAATCTCCTTTAAGGAATTGCATAGCATTGGCAGGCTGCATCGTGGCGCGGGATCATGGCGTGAGACAGGAACTGAGACGCGATTTTTCGACCAGCATCGAAAACGCTAGCTAAATTGCACAGAGAGAGAGAGAGAGAGCGCACACCTTGATTTACCCGCCAAATGGACCACGCGTCTAAATATGACAATCGTCTCTCCTTGGCGGTTTTCTTCGGTTGGAGGGCGGGGATTGGAGTTTTATTTTGTGATGGTTGTTGGACGGGCGTGTCGGGGATCATGCTGTGTATGATTCGCATGGTCCCCCCTTTTCTTCTTTCACGCCGGGGGGGGGGGGGGGGCGGGGGGGGGGGGGGGGGGGGGGGGGGGGGCGCGGGGGGGGGGGGGGGGGCCGGGC